GATAACTTACAAAAATAAATTATAAATTATTGTTAATTATTGTAACTTCTTATTATTCATATTAATTGTTTTTAGAGTAAATTACATTCTCGGTCCCCATGGTATATATGTTTTAACACTTTGTGTTCCTATTTTAAATATATATATATATATATATATATATATATATATATAGAGAGAGAGAGAGAGAGAGAGAGAGCTTGGTTCAAATGTTAACCAAGATTATTGTGTTAACTTTGTTAACCAAGCTCAATAAATGGAAATCAATATTTTCTTTAGGTTCACATACATCTCATAGGTAATGACAAGGGTAATTAAGTAATTTTACCATTTTGTGTAACTCCCATATCATTAATTGGGAGTTACAAAATTTAAAAATCTCATAATTGATGATGATTTTAATATTGATCTTGTTTTTCAATTTGTGATTGTTTTTGAAATTTGATTTATCTATCTATAGTGTTGTTGAATTTGTAATTGTTAAAGGATTTTCGATAGTAAAGTTTTCGATATCGTCCAAGCTAATATGGATAAACCCATTGGAAAAAAGATCGACAACAATGGGAATGAGAAGGTTAAAATGGTTTACGAAGACAATCGGACTTCGAGTTCCGGAAGTGAAGACAATGATCAAAGCGTTTGTATTGGTAATGGATTAATATGATATTTCATTCGTTTTAATCGACAGTTCTCACATTTGACAATTCTCACTTATATTGCAAAAAAGGTGACTGCAGCTGACCTGTTGAACAACTTCTGTATATTCAGGAGCTAGCTCTGTTGAGAGATTCAATCAGTTTACAGGTGAAGACATATGAAGTTAACACACAGTGCGTTAGATGTTCATATGAAGACATAGGGACACACATAGACATATGAAGACATATGAACACATCATAAATCACACAACCTTAGATGCCGTGATTCATAATTGTTCATGTCTATTCAAGTCACTAAATGTTCATATGAATCCATATAGACACACGCATAACATGTGAAGACATGTGAGCACGTATGAAAACACACAACCATAGATGCCTTGGTTCATACGTGTTCATGTACATACAACAGAGTTGGCTCCTGAATATACAGAAGATGTTCATACGGTTCACATGTTGTTCATATGTCTATATATATATATATGTGTGTGTGTGTGTGTGTGTTCATATGGTTCTTACATTAACAAAAAGAATGAGATTTTTTTATTTTGTAACTCCCAATTAATGATACGGGAGTTACATAAAAAAGAAAATTACGTAAATACCCTTTTCCTCTTTGTTCACATATGTTTTTTGAAATTGTAAATTTAAAAAATTAATTTTTTATCATGATTAATCACAACCGTTTATTGTAAAAATCAATGGCCAAGATTGGTTAACAAAGTTAACACAATAATCTTGGTTAACATTTGAACCAACCCCTATATATATATATATATATATATATATGTGTGTGTGTGTGTGTGTGTGTGGATTACATCCTTGTGGTTTGCATTTTATAACACGATGGGTCTCTAAATCTAACTCTATTATATTTTTTTGTGTTAAATAGGTTAACTAAGAGAGCATTTGGGTCATTATAAGTATAGAGACCAAACATGTAAATAAAAACCACATGGACCAAACATTTAATTTACTCTCTATACACACTCTCTCTCTCTCTCTCTCTCTATATATATATATATATATATATATATTATACTAGAATGATACTCGTGCAATGCATCGAGACACATTTCCTTTTCAATGTTTCGTTTTATTTTTTTATCCATGTCGATATAATATGATTTTATATGGTTTTGAAAAAGAGATAATGTTTATATTTTTGAATAAAATATAAATTTGAAAATATTATATAAAATTTGCAAAAAAATATCAATATTAGTATCAAATTAACTATTTAAAAGTTCTTGTTTCTGTATTTTTTTAATTCAAATTTTTTATTATAATTTAATTTAATGTAACGAAATAACTTACTTTAGGTTTAATAATATATTTTTTATAAAGATAATAATTAAGTATTMTRTTAGAACTCAATRATTATCCTAAGTATATTTTAAAATAAGATGTTTATCCTTTATTTGATTATGTTTACCAACAATTAGTTACACGAATTCAAACATGAAGCTTTAATAAGTTGTATTTATGCACAATTTACTTGTAATCTTGAATTTTAAGTAATTTGCATCAATAAACAGTATTTTATGCATAAAAAATTATTTTTAAGAGTTTTTGTCAAATGTTTGATAATATAGTATAGATTTGTCTATGTCGATGTTATAATACGATTTTATGTGTTTTTAAGAAAACAATAATGGTTTTATTTTTGAATAAAATATAAACTTGAAAAAAAAATATATCAATGTTAATATGAAATAAACTATTTAAAAATTCTATTTTTTTTATGTAATTTCTTTAATTTATTTTAATTTAATTTAAGTTTAATAACGAAATAATTTATTTTTGTTTTAAATAATATAACATTTTATAAAGATAATAATTAAGTATTCTATTAGAACTCAATGATTATCCTAATTATATTTTATATTTTTTATATATAAAATGAGATGTTTATCCTGTATTTGATTATGTTTATCTGCAGTTAGTTACACGAATTCAGATATGGAGTTTTAATAAGTTGTATTTACGCACAATCTACTTGCAATATTGAGTTTTAAGTAATATGCATTAATAAACAATACTTTATGCATAAAAAGTGGTTTTTAAGAGTTTTTGTCAAATGATTTATAATATAGTATAGATTATATTTATCAACTTACTTTTATAAATTTTCTTATCATGACATTGTATTTTCATTTTTTTATTACAACAATATACTTTCAAGTTGTTTTTATTATGATATTATACTTAAATTTTTCTTTATTATAGCAATATATACTATCAATTTGTTTTTTTTATTTAGGCATTATACTTTCAATTTTTCTTATTATAACAATATACTTTTAAAATGTTTTTATTAAGACATTGTTCTTTAAAAATTTATCCATTATAACAATTGACAACCTTTTTACTTAGCCATTGACTTAAGTTTATTTGATGATTTAGAATGTCTAGATACGAGTTAAACAACAATCCTATATATTTGCCCAATAACTATTGTAAGCCTATGAAAAGTTATAATGTGGATAAGTGACAATTAAATTTGGAGACAGAAAGTTTCAAAGACTCAGAAAGGAGTACACATGTTAAAGATTATGAGTATTACAATTTTTTAATGAGAAATATGTTTTAACCCTATCACTCGTGATTGGTACTTGGTATAAATTATTTAGAACACATTATGTGATACTAGCATTAAATGATTTTGTTATATGCAAAATTGGAGATAAAGTTACATGTATTATGTGTATGTATGACTCGTCTATCTTTATAGTGGAATGGTTAGTGATTGGACAAGTCCCAACAATCGAGCAAGGAAGGAAAAGACGTGAAGTTTACTTTCTATGCATAGCGAAATTTTAAAATAAGAATAAAATAGTGTGCATAGGTATACTAAAGGTCGAAATGTTCACTATTATAGAATGTCGAAGAGAGTGACAAGGTCAATGAATGCTAATGGTCGTGAAGATAAACGAGTCGAGGGAGTGACCTCAACCCCAACCCGAAGCTGGAGTGGTCCTAGTAGACCATCGATTCAGCCTGCACATCCGGAAGTAAACATTGCCGAAAAGACGACACGTTGTATGTGCATCGCTTTACCTGGAATACTTGAGCACATCTAAACTGCAACACTTAATATGGTAGAAGCTCGTTTGAAGCATAATAGACCTTCGGGAAATGGAACTTATGAAATTAAGGAGTCGACTAATAATGAATCTCACAATCATGAGGAGTCGAACGGGAAGGCACATTCCGAAAGTAAGAAAGTTAAGAAACCCGATAACAAAGGATGTAGATTCTTCAGTATCACTTGTCCTTTTACTTCCGAGGGCAAAAATGGACCTCTAGTAGATATGAATTGGTTGCACGAGACGGAAAGTTGCTTCTTGACTTGTCATTGTGCACCAAGTGATATGATACAATTAGCATCAACTATGTTTAAGTCAAAAACTTTTAATAGAACTCCGAATTTACACCCCATAAGTTGATAAACATTTTTAAGAATAAACATAAGTTGTTTTAAATAAACAATCCCAAACACCCCCAAATGGATGCCATCATAACAGAACATGCATGTTAACATGTTCATATGTTTTTTTAGTTCATCGGTTAGTTTTTACCAAATATGATTAGTTTATCAGTCAACTTATCAACTAATAACTAATTTATCAACCAACAGTTAGCTTACCAAGTAGTTGCCAAAATTAAGGGTGAAATCGCATGGATTCGGGTTGGAAAACCAAAAAAATGTGATCGAATTTCAGATATGAAAACCAAGTCCCGAATTTTGGGATTCTAATTTCAGATTGTTTAGGTTCGGTTAATCAGATTTTGGGTTGGGGTCGGTCGGGTCCGGGTGTAGTTATATACAATATATAACTAGTTTATAAACATCTAATAATTATTTTTTATGATTTTTTGTAAAATATATCTCATCCATTTATATTATATCTAACAATTATATATATATATATATATATATATAGGTTTTCGGACGGCTGGGTGGCCAAAAACCAAATTGATTCCGAACCCAAATATCCCAAAAAACCAGGTTTCGAATTTCGGAGCATTTGAGCTTTACTCAAACACCTTATTTTTTATTCGGGTTTCAGAAGCTTCAGGTTTTGCACACTACTGGCCAAATGTAGATGCACGACCCTTTACCAAACGCTTAAGCGAGTAAATGTTTACCAAGTTACATTACCTTACCGGTTGCATCTTACCCGACAAGTAAATAACAATGTTAAATTCTGTCGGTAAACAATTATATGGTAATTACCAAAGAAAAACATAGTGTGAAAGTATAGGGATCAAAGTACAAAATAGAAAATAAAATTTCTGACTTTAAAGATTAGGTTCAATTATTCCTCCATCCCCTACCCTCTCTATCTCTCCACACTGCATTGCGGCTAGGGTTTCACCAAACCCTTCTCTCTTTCACTTATCTTCCAAGAAATTTGTGGGCTTAATCGATCTCGAATTACATATCACGATGAGGAATCGGAATTAGGGTTTTTATCTGTTGCAAAGACTGAAACTTTTATCAAAGGAGTGTAAGAAAGAAGAGGAAGAAATGGCGACCGCGAACCCTTTTGATTTGCTTGGAGATGATGACAACGATGACCCATCACAGCTTGTGCAGAAGATCGTTGCTGCGCCGATCAAGAAAGTTCAAGCCGCTGCTCCTGCCGGTAAAACGGCCGCTCAGCCGGCTAAGCCTTCGGCTAAGCTTCCCTCTAAGCCTCTTCCTCCAGCTCAGGCCGGTAAGTTATTGAGTCATTGTTCCTTCATTTACATGCCTTTATATATATACATATATATAGTGGTTGAATGATTTGAAAAGCTCAATACTTTATCTGGTCTTATCATCTGTTTTGTAACTCAATTGAATTTCAATAATATATACATATATATACATATATATATATATATATATATATATATATATATAGTGGATGCAAGATGAAAAGATAGAGAAGATGAAGATTAATTGCAGTGTTTAAGATAATTTCTTGTAGTGAAAAGTTATTGGACTTCAATAATTCAGGGAAATGTTATTGGATAATCTTATAATTCCATTTAAGTTTAAGAGGTTGTTGTGTTGTGCACTTGAAAAATTAGTCTGAAAGATTGATGCTTTATGCTTGATGCTTGAGTTTAATTATCTTTATATTAGAAAACACACCCTATGTAGTGTTTGTAGATAGCTTCTTTTATAGTTTGTTCAAGCTATATATGTTATGGCGTAAATTGGAATGTTTACTTTGTTAAATTGGTTATGTAGCGTGATTCTTTTTTGTTTTTGACTTGAGCAGTGAAAGAAGCTCGAAATGAAGGTGGGCGTGGAGGACGTGGTGGTGGTCGTGGGTATGGGCGTGGCCGTGGTGGAGGAGGATTTAATAGAGATTCTACCAACAATGAGGGTTCATTTGGTAACCGTGGATTCTCTGGTGGTCAAGGTGGTATTGAAGAGTCTGATGCTGCTAAATTGTCGGAGAGACGTGGTGGTTATGGTGGTTCTCGTGGGGGGTTCCGTGGTGGGCGCCATGTTTCTTTCGGTAATGGAGATGCTGAGGATGGAGAACATCCTCGTCGGCCTTATGAACGCCGTAGTGGGACGGGGCGTGGGTAAAACTTTTGTTACTACATTGTTAATGCTTGAAGTGCTTTTTGGTCTTGGTCAAAATTTCCTTTTGCTTCCTTGGTCCCAAAGTAAATGTCTACAATGAAAAGACACAGATTCAGAAATGTGTAGCCATATTAGTGTACTAAATGACAATTTTACCCTTAACAACAGAGGGAGTAATGAATTTCTCGATCTCAAGGGTAGAATCGGAAAGTAGGCACTTAATTTTTTGACAGACGAAAATAGAAATGAGGACACTTATTTTTGGACGGATGGGGTATTGTTCATCTGGATATAGTTTTGCATCGGCTATTTTGCTTATATGCTTCATAAAATTCTTCAATCACTCGATATTTCATGTTCAGGAATGAGTTCAAACGTGAGGGAGCCGGTCGTGGGAACTGGGGAACTCAGGCTGATGACATCAAACAGTATTCTTTTTCTCTTGCCATATTATCCTTCCCTCCATCCCACAATAAATGAACACAAATAACACTTTTTAATCAACTAAATGACAATATTATCCTTAATAGTGCAGGGACAATTATTTTGGGACAAACTAAAATAGAAACGTGGACACTTATTTTGGAACAGAAGGATTTGCCTTGGTAAGTAATTTGTATGTATTCTTTTGTTCACAGGGAGATTGATGAAGGGGTGACCGAAGGAGAAAAAACTGTGGCTACTGATAAGCCCAGTGCTGAGGAGGAGGCAACAGATGGGAAAAAGGAGAATTCTGCAAATGAACGCGTGGAGGAGCCTGAGAATAAGGTGAATAGACTTCATCCTGTTTGAAATTTTGGTTGAAACATGTATAATCGGGCTCTAGAAGTAGAAACAATTAAACTAACCGAGTTTTTTTCGGATATCATACATTTGTCTTTTGTTGGGCAAAGCGGTTTATATCGTTCCCCTTATCGAATTCATGGTTTATGTTGGAATTCGATGTTATTCTCCTTTTTTTATTGATGATGAACTACTCTCTTAGATTCTTTATTCTCTCAAAATGCCCATTTTAGTCCTAGTATTTCTATTTTTGGGTAAAGATTTTTAGTTTTTACTGTATTGCTATTTGGCTTTTGTTGTTGGGTTTTTACGGTCTCTCTGCCATAGATCACAGTGCATGAAATGTAAACATTTAAGGCGATTATGAATAATCTTGAATAAATCATGGGTTGTTGGTTCTCAAAATGTTCATTTAAACATCTCTCTCTCTATATATATATACATGTTATATCTTCGATATTTGTGGATGATCTGGTTTTTGGGTGTTACTAATGCAGGAGATGACACTTGAAGAGTATCAAAAAGTTCTGGAGGAGAAGAGGAAAGCTCTGGCGGCACTCAAGACTGAGGAAAGAAAGGTGGAAGTCGACAAAGAGCTCGCATCCATGCAGCAGCTCTCCAACAAGAAAAGCAGCGATGACATCTTCGTCAAATTGGTGACGGTTTCTGATCCCTGTTTTTATTATATACCTTCTGGAAGCTCTTTACATCGTACCATCTAACTAATTTCGATTTATTTTGTAGGGTTCTGATAAAGATAAGCGCAAAGAGATTGCTGAGCGAGAAGAGAGAGCTAAAAAGGTAATCTTTTATTATTTTATGTAATTATATATTTATATCATAGACGAAGGATTGTGTGAGAATAAGAGTTAAGGTGAGAAGCGTAAGAAGGGATCAGGACCCTTGTTCACTTTTAATCTCAAAGTCAAAGCACAAGTATAATAGTGATATGTTTTTTGGTGGCAGCATGAATTGTTGTGATAAAGATATTATAATAGTTGTATGTTGTTTTTTAAACCAAACGCGGGATTGGAATGGAATCAAATGAGATCTCCATCGGACTCTTTATTTCCTGTTGTCCCAAAATAAGTGCAACGTTTTCTATTACTAGTTTGCTCTTTGTTATTAACGTTAAAAGATTGTTTATGACATAGATTTTGGTGAATAAGATTCCGCTATTTCGTATTTATTGAGGGGCAGTTTAGATATGACTTGTGGCCAAATATTGCGATTATTTTTAGATGGGTGTAGTATGTTATGCTCAAAACTCTTATTATGCTTACTTGATTAGAAGACTCGTTTATCGCAGAAACAACACACACACACACATATATATATATAGAGAGAGAGACTTGGGTTCACGTSAGAAAAATGTAATGGCTAGAAGTGGTGAAGGTGAATGTTATGGGACCTGAATACGTATCTTACACTGGTTTTTGTGAAAGCGGTCATTTCCACATGCTCTCTCACAATATAAGGGCACACTCGCATACATTATGTGAAGGTTAATATTTCTCACACCTCACGGAAAATGACATTTTTCACAGGGACCCAACACACACACACATGCACACATACATATATATAGAGAGAGAGAAGGGGGGAGGGGAGTGAGAGACTTGTGTGAGGCCCGTGAGACCACTTCTGAGCTCTTGGAAGAGCTCTTTTTTGATATTTCGTCAAACCTTCACATGAAAAATATATTGAATATTCACAGGAAAATGACACCAAATTCTCACGCGAAGCACACACAAAACCCTCAACAGTTGTTTCCAAACCTTGGTTTCCTTCCTGTATCACATATTATCGTGTTTTTATAAAAGGTTGATGTTCTCGTTTGAACCTACACACACACATATGTATACACACACATATGTATACACACACATATGTATACATATATATATGTATACAACAGTTGTTTCCAAACCTTGGTTTCCTTCCTGTATCACATATTATCGTGTTTTTATAAAAGGTTGATGTTCTCGTTTGAACCTACACACACATATGTATACATATATATATGTATAGTATACATATATATATATGTATATATATATATATATTTGTGTGTGTTTGGGGAACTACAATTTGATTCACTAAAACACAATCACGAATAATTCTTTTAGCTTAATCTTTATGTTGATTGGGTTTTTGTGGTGGTTACAGTCACTGAGCATCAATGAGTTCTTGAAACCTGCTGAGGGAGAACGATATTACACCCCAGGTGGTCGTGGCCGTGGCCGTGGCCCTAGAGGAGGTGGAGGTGGAGGTGGAGGTGGCGGCCGTTTTAACCAAGGCGGTGGTGGTTCATCAAGCTATGCACCGGAAGCTCCCAAAATCGAAGATCCCAGCCACTTCCCTACTTTAGGTGGTAAGTGAGATTTCACCCCTTTCTGCCATATGATCAATTTTTAGTTCTAAAAAATTTACAAAAAATGGCGGGAATACAAGAAGCAAGAATAATGGAAGTTTCATACTTTCATGTGTCGGAAAAAAGGGATGGTAAAACTTGCCACGGTCTTAAAATGTAAATTTATTGTGTTTTTCGTATGCTCCTTCCTTGTACCTTTGTTTTTGGTTTTTTTCTTACTAGAATGTGTTGCTGCGTTCGTTGTGTTGTTTTTGTTGTCGGGTTTTGTTATGAATTTAGAGATTTTGGGGGCATATGGAGACCGATTAATTTGTGGTTTGAGACGCTTGTTTCTCAGTTTTGTTTTGGAATAGATTGATGACGATTTTTAGTCCTTTTTACGTGCATTCGATTCATGCTTTTATCGTATCACACTTCTTTTTTCCTGGTTCTTTTTATCATATATGCATAATGATCCCATGGCATTCGTCGGCTTAGTGGATAAGAACTTAGCATTTTAATGAGCTTAACGAGACTACAAATTATTGGGTCTGTTGTACACGACTAGTGATAGTGGTTTAATGATATAGAAAATGGTTTATTCAGTAAGCTTTTAGAAAGAATATTCTTAAACCTGTCAGAAGGTCATGTATTTCAAAAAATGGTCATAAGGTTATTCTCTTATGACGGGTTATTTATAAGTTTTATGTGTATGCCGACCTTTCATAATGCTCATCTATTCTTAACTTATTATACGATGTCTTTTAATTATTGACATCGTCTAGGTTATTAATTTGTCTACACAAACCATCGTACAATCGTAAACCTCGTACTCAGAAGTTTGAATTTACTCATGCTTAATCACATCCGCATCCCACCTATTCACCGTTAACTCTCGGCCTTTTCCATACGGCTATACCCCTCCTTTCGACCATTGTATCCGCCAAATGCTCGAGATTTTTTTTGTTTTCCCTTGTACAACCAGAGTAATATTTTGATTTTGATTTTTGATCGAGAGATTGATGTCAACTAGCCCGTGTTTCCCGGTTCCCATGCCATAACGTAGTTCGCTTGAACAAATATGTATTAGGAGCGTGCAAGAAGTCATCCAGTCCAATTTAAATCGACCAATCCAATTAGAACCAACTGATCATAGTCGGATATACATTTGTAGTTGGATCGGGTCGGATAAAAAATTTCAACATTCAAATTGTATTGGTCGGTTTTTGGATGACAATCCAAAATCTAATAAAACCCAACCTGTCCAAGCCAGTTATCATCAAACTACTATCCAATTAATAATAATTATACACAATTATTAACATTTTACGATGTTGATTTTAGTTGATAATTTATATGTAGTTTTTTAATAAGCTAAGAAAATATTTAAATAATTGGTTGAAAATTGGATTAGAATATTGGATGAGATTCAATCTGATCCAATAGATAATCAATGGTAATATCATATGGATAGAACCAATAAGATCAAATCATCAATTGGATTGGATGTTCAATATTAATTAGATCGGATCGGATCAGATGACAAAATTCAACATCTAATGGATGATTGGGTTGAATTGAATGACAAAATTCAACAGATGATTGGATCGGACTGGATCCACCTAAATCCATTGGACTCAACCGATGAACAATATATGGTGTACTGAAGGATGAGTGAGTCAAGCTTTTGTCGTATTCGAGTTGAAACATGTGACCAAAGCCCCAAATCATATAATGAGTTGAGACGTTTATTAAACGTCACTTATTTTTTCAGTTAATATAGTACGGATCGAGAATCTTACTCGATAGATGACCGATCCATTTTAATAGTTGAATATGTAACTCGATAAGGTATGTGAAAATGATGACTTTTACTGATAAATACTTAATAAGCATTTGATAAACGATACACACCCAATTCTTTAATTATTGTAGCTTTGTGGGGAGTAAAAAGAAGTCATTTCTTACAACTCATTCCCCACTTTAATTTACAATATTCACTCCATATATTATTTTCTTTTTATTATTTTTTGTTTTATTAATAATTGAAAAAATAAAAAATATATATTCTTAAAATAAAATATAACTCTTGAAGTAGGAGCATGAAGCGTCCGACTTGTAAAGTTTTGTAGGACGGGTGTATCTTTAAGGTGGATAAAAGAACCCATAAAATCACGGTTTGATTCTATGGAAAAGTAAATGTGGTTTGACCCGAGAAAAAGTCAATTGTGTTATTTGAGAACTAAATTACATTTTTTTTTTCAAATGGAATAGACTTGGTAAGCAAAAAGCAAGACTAAAGAGCTATTTATCAAACATTTATCCGGTAAAATTCAATACTATCACTTACTTACCGGGTAAAATTTTAGTCCACCAAAACGGCATTGTATGCAACAATTTACCGGTAAGCGTTGATCGTGGTAAGAGTCATCATTATCACTTACCGGGTAAGACTCTCGGTCCTTGGCCTCGTTCTTACCATATTCATCCAATAAGGTAATGTGACTTTTTTTTTATTAACCTGGATATCCAACCCGCTATGCGAGTCGACTAATCCCAGGGCGACCACCTGCTTTGCAGATAGCCCGGAGTCACCGCATTTGAACCTCCGTGGCCACAAGAGGATTTTTATTCCTCCTTGGATTTGAACCTGTGACCTCCTGGTACTTTTGACCTTTGGAGCCAAACTCAAACCAATCAGGCACCACCCTTGTGGTTTAAGATAATGTGACTTGGTAAACACTTACCCGATAAACGACCCCTAAGTCTTAGGCACAAGTCCAATGCACTTTTAGCCGAATTCCACAATTTTAGAGATTTTTTTCTTTAGTTTTTTGGTTGATTTCAAGAGACTTTATTCGGTTTTTTGGTTAATATCCCTTGTATTTATTAATATTCTGAAACATCTTCAAAGTTTAACATGCACACCTTTAATCCCCCAAAATGAATTTTATTTGAAAAAAAAATGGTTAAATGGGTGCAAACACCCAGGATAGGTCCAACCTTGAGAACACGATGACAATAACAATCTTAAAAACCATTTTTTATGCTAATATACAGACAAATAATTCTTTACATTAATTTAAATGTAAGAAGCAGTAACTTAAATGAAAAAAAGCATGACTGAAGATGTTCTAAGAACTCAACTCGAATTCCTATCAAACTTATTTTATAAAATGTAGTCGAAATTATAAAAGTAGGTAAAATTCTTGGTCCTTTCCATACTCACCTAGCAAGCGCTTAGCGTTTGATAAACAACCCCTTACTTTCACTTACTTTACAAGGTAAAATTCTCGATTTTCAAAATGACTTAGTAAGATAGTCGGCTAACGTCCCTTCCCCAATAAGCACCAACTTAGAAAGAGTCACTTAAGATTCTCAATCCTTGTACTAAACGCTAGTTTAACCCCTTTCCCAATAAGCACTAACTAAGAAAAAGTCGCTTAAGATTCTCGGTCCTTGTACTAAACGCTACTTTAGCCCCTTTCCCAATAAGCACTAACTAAGAAACAGTCCCTTAAGATTCTCAGTATGTTGGGTCATTGACCAGCATCTTCCTAAATCGAAACGTTGCGCTGGCTGCTACGCTATAAGGAAATAAACTGCGCCTTCTCCACCAGCAATTGCTTTTGACGTAGTGGTAAGCGCTTGGATCCTAACACGGTCCTTGTACTAAACGCTACTTTAACCCCTTCCCCAATAAGCACTAAAAAAGTCACTTGAGATTCTTAGAAAAAAGTCACTTGAGATTCTTAGTCCTTGTATTAAACGCTACCCGGTCAGCGTTTGGTAAAACAAGATTTGAAGATTTCGACTTTCACAAATAAAAAACCTTAAATCATGAATCTTTGATCAAACACATTAACCGGTGAGAACGAATTCATTCGTGTTTTAGTTGACAGAACAAAGTAGGTACTAGAAACCATTGACAACTAAAGAATTTTTTAGACTTTTTATACAATCCCAACAAAGTAAAGTAAAAAAGAATTCAACCCTAACACAAGAATACTTGTACATTGCCCACTTAGACCCCGTCCCGTCAAATACCACTTACTAAGAGCAGCATCCGCTATTCTGTGACACGGGCTGTCCACGGATGTTGACCGTCGGCGGCTTTGAGGCGTTCAAGGACGGTTGACTTGCCATCCTGCATTTATACGTCCAGTAGTAGTTTGAGTATATCAGTACCAGTATTCCTCAGTTATAGTCAATAGTTGTAAAACCAAATGAACCCGGTGAACCCCGACTCGGGGGCTTCCATGAAGACCCCCAACTTAAAACCAGACCAAACCAAACGGAACAGAGAATCCAGTATATCCCACCTGAGATGGGTCTGGGGAGGGTAAGATGTGTGCAGACCTGACCTCTACCCCAAAGAGTAAAGTGGCAATTGCCTTCATTGTTTGGTATGCAAGACAGGACTAAACAATCAAACTACTTGTCCCATGTTTGGTGCGACAATTAGAGTGGTAGGCTATAGCACCGAGTGGGAGAAAAATGCAGTTTTTTTTCTGCCAAAATGGGTGGAACAAAAATCGTGATGGGACAAGATGGGTAAATTACTAAACTACCCATGTCAAATTCAGTGTACCAAAAGTACCCTCACAGACTACTTGAAATGATGATAACAGTCAAATAAGCATTCCGAGATTGAAAACTTGCCAAGAACATAAATGTTTGCAGGCATGGATGTTGGAAGTATGAAGGTGGGAAGGTTTCCAAGTTTTAACAAAGAACCATATGAAAATAAGAAAATTCAAGTTGGCGGTGCCAGATTGTAAGGACGACAATGGCAGACTGACAGTAAGTTAGCAGTGTCATATGGGTTTTTATGTCACATTGCTTGTAACTAAGATTTCTATGTTTTTGAGGATCGAAAGATTATTGCTTGGTCAATTCATTAAGATATACAGAAAATTATCATAGCAGCACCAACCTGTCTTTGATGGAAGCAGTCATGGCCATGAAAGCCTGTTCCACATTGGTGGCATCTTTTGCACTTGTTTCCAAGAAAGGGATTCCAATTTCATCAGCAAATGCCTGTTAAATATTAACACATTAAGATAAGTCCTTTTACTTGAATTAACTGTATTTATCAATCATCATATTATTTATAATTCCACTTGAGATAGCTAATTTTCGTGGGCTAATTTTTACCTTGCCTGTCTCAGTTGAAACAACTTTGTTTGCAACGAGATCACATTTGTTTCCAACAAGTATCTTGTTGACATTTTCACTGGCATAGCGATCGATTTCACTCAGCCACTGTTTAACGTTATTAAAGCTCTCTTGGTCCGTCACATCATAAACCACCTGAGCACATACAAACATTAGAGGAATTAGTTGCAGCAACCCAGAAAGAACATATTACTACCTGTTGCAATGTTTGACTTTGCATATAATTGAAGTAAAATGTTTAGAGTCTTTGTAGAATATCTAATATACCCTTCAATAAAGACTATTAAATACAGAAATCTTGGGAACCAAATCAATACCAAAACTCTACTTGTAAGGATGATGATGAGCAAACAGGTAATCTTAACTTGGATCTTTCTAAGAAAGAAAATGCAAAAATACTCTCAGGACATCCCAAAAAGTAAAGGGTTTCAATTTCATGGAATGGAGGATGTTATAAATATCCAATATGAAGAACAACAGTAACTGGCAAGGCGGTCACTCACTATAATGCCATGTGCCCCTCGGTAGTAGCTGCTTGTGATTGTCCTAAAACGTTCTTGCCCCGCGGTGTCCCACTGTACGTTAACAGAAAAGAAACAAAAAGAATCACAAATCAAAGAAAGACTTGTTAATGCAACATTTCACTCAGTTTTGGATCTTCTTGGATAAGAATGAAGATTCTATATATACAAATCCAACATGAAGCAACCAGATCATGATGGATAAAATCATAGAGTGCAATGTCAGACTTACTATTTGAAGCTTAATAGTCTTGCCATCTTGCTCCACAGTACGGATTTTCTACAGGAGATGTAAAAATGGTTACATTAATTTCATGGATGTGCATTAAAGTTGGCAATTAACAACTTGAAATAATTACTTACAAAATCAACTCCGATGGTGCTAATGTAACTGTCCAAGTAGGAATCGTCCTATAACAAGTCAAAATAGAAGCAAAGAAATCCATTAATAGCATGCAGCGAAAATATATGCATAGAGACTTCATGTTGTCTTTCAAAGCGGTGATGGTTTGGTCACTTGTGCATCAAGAAGTTTTCAACTCATGAATTACCAAAATTTTAATTCTTACATCAATTACAGATAATAAAAGGTGAGCTGAAGAATAAAGCTTGGCAAGGAACACAATACAAGTTCTCATGACTTTTTGAAGAATAAAAGGATACAATATATCAGAAAAAATTAAATGATGTTTGAACTATGTTTGCAATTCTAAGTCCTTAGTTGTGTACAAAGGATATAATCAACATACAGTTATATACTTAAATCTGAATAAGATATCTCCATCATAGATATTTGTTTCAAGGTGTGTATCGGGACACACAAAATTTACTTATGTAAAAAATGTTGCATAAAAGCAGACATGTTTGAAATATGCAAAATATAGATGGTATATAGGCATTAAATGTTTAAGTATTAAAGTCTCAGTTGTTGGTACCATATTGTGAGAAAAAAACAAAGATATGATACTAACGACCATAACACGTCTTGATGGCCAGAAAACAATCTTTGAAGACGTACTGTATTTTAAGTTCAGGGATTAGACAATCAAAATCTTTGTCATTAGCCAAGCAGGTTGCAGCATATGGTTTAAAGATCAAGAAATGACTATTCAACATAGAGATGGTCGAAAAAGAAGCTGGAAAAAGAGAACAAAATAAATATTGGCCCTCCCTTTCACTTGGATAAATAGTTATCTGCACACCTTTGACCTTTTTTGACTTCCATAACTACTAGCACTGCCCTATTGGACTTTTAATGAAAATGACTAGAAGTGCTTCATGTAGTGTTACTCTTATCTTATAAACACATAAAAGTATTTGATGGAAAGCAAAGGGAAAGGGCATACAAATAACCAAATATATCAAAACAATATCTAAATCTACACAAAGCGTATTCTGTATGGGATCCAAGGCACTTACAGCAAACCTCAGGAGCAAACATGATTTTCCTACTCCAGAATCTCCAATAAGCAAAAGCTTGAATAGGTAGTCACTGCCAAAGACGACGATGCCGATAAATACATACTAATATGAAGTTAAAGAGGTAGGAAAACACTGAACAGTATAACCATCATTACAGATAATTGTCCAACACCAAATCAAACAAGCAAAGCTTGCATATCTAATAGAAGCATTGCAATATGGTGAATAACAGAATAGAACTTCTGCCCTAGATAATCCACCTTGGTCACTTGACAAAAACAACAAAAAAGGAAAGACTTAAACATTCTTCAATTTCTTAGACTCATGGCATCTTCTCAAGAGAAGCCATGGTCGTAACTCGTAAGTGGTTTTAGGTCTTGTTTTGTTTCAATTTATGCTGAGACCTTAATATATATGTAATCATTTAATCGCTTTGTAAAATAACATGTTTGTGTAACTATACATACACATGAAAGGCTTGAGTTCCATGCTATACTTATTCTCCTCAAAATCTGCCCTATGAATCAGCAAGGTACTGGATGTAATTTGATACTTTTTGCATATCACTTACATACCACCTTTGTTTTGTTCAACAATCCGACATATCTAATGTCAGACTAATTACTTTGCAGAAAAGGTGACTGTGTTTTATTTGCAACTGTTAGCGCACACCCAAATCTTAAAATTACAAAGCTCTTACAGATCTCCCTTGCAAATGGTTCTGTTAAAGAAATAACCCAACCAGCAAAAGAAGTTGCACACTGTCTTTACAAAAATTAATATTTGATTTAACACATATTCTATTCTTTTATGAATTAAATCAACAAATATTTATAATATTCTTTAATAAATACAAAATTAGGGACGACAGCAGGATTGGGATGGTTAATTCTCGTTCCTGTTTTTAACAAAATCTGACCAATTTTAAGATTTGAAAGTGAGAAAGTGTAGGAGAATATAAATCATCAAGTACATCAAAGAAAGTGGGAAAGAGACAGAGCTTAACACATGCAAAATCCCTTTTTTGAAGCCATGGCCCGTGGGTGAAGTAATTCAAAACAAATGCAAACATCCATTTTATGTGCGCCATGTATGGACGCTACAAGCTAATAGCAAATGCAAAGACATCATTTCAAACACATCCTCATTCTAGACTTCTAATGATATGATTCAGATAAAATATGAGAGAACCAGAACAAGAAAACTTCGTTCTGGTTGAGAATTTACATCCAATTGCAACACATAGTAAGAAATCTTTTAGGACATTCTAAATGAACCTCTTCTAAATGCTTTTTCACGAATGTTGAACCCTGCATTTCTGTATCTCAAAATAAGTTACTTCACATATGGCATCAACCAATACCTTCCTTGAAACATGACACCCAAACCATTGCTAGACTAGAACATAGAAGTACAGAACATAATGATTGCTGCTAGAACACATCCTAATTGATGGATAAACAGTACACAAATAAAAGAAAGAATCTAAAAGATTAAATTTGTGATGCATTAAACCTGTTTGTTGGTCCCAGTGGCAAATCTATTATATAGACAGGGTGGCCTTGGCCGACTCACTGTGGACGATATTCAAAAGTGACTTAACACCCCTAAAGTTTCTATGTTCTAAGTTTGTCCCATCATAAGCTTGTAACCATCTTAAAATATATTAAAAAACATTTTGAACTTAACTATCATTCTTAAAAATTCTGGTTCCAATAGGGCCTTAATAAGAAAAGGTTATATTTAGATTTGTGTCATCGAAGTTCAAAAGATAAAGATAAACTTATTTTGAAAGCATAAATTTTTCACCCAATTATCAACTTCTCCCTTGACTAAATATTTCCCAGAAAAATCGCTTTATTCCCCTCACAAATTGGCAACAATTGATTTAAATAATCAATGCTATATCATGTTTATAGTAAGCAAATGCTCGTTGTCTAATTTTTGATACTCCAAAGTTTGCTCAAGTATCAAAGTTTGTCTCTTATTGGTTGCTTTGCAAGTTGCTTGATCAGCCTATCTCTTGAACAGTAAGAGGTGTAGCCATTAACTAATTGGCACACCCACTAAGCATATGTAATAAGATTCTCATTAGTAACAAAAGCCCATAACGAACTTATCAAACCTTAACCTTGTCCAACCTAAACCAAGTTGTTTATTCTCTTTAATTTATAATATATTAGTAGAAAGACACATTTTAGATGTTTTTGAACTAAATAGATTGTTTCAGGACTTAGCAACCATTTACATTCAACCTCATTCATAAGTGCTCAGCATCATATACTTGATGCATTAAAAATACACAAGACCATCTTGAATCTCGTTGCAACGATAGAAAAGACAACAGCCTATAGTATAGATTTTTGCAGCAAATTTCAATTAGCAACTGCTGCTAGTATATTTAATAGGAAAAAGATAGGATTGGAAGTATAACTTCAACGCACTAAGACATCACCCGATCTGATATTCCTTCTTTGAGTAGCAGCTGACGAGACCTCATACATGATACAACAGTTGTGTAATGCCCTTACCTCTATACGCTCTTCACCAACTCAATTCCACATTTATGAAAGAAAAAGCTTAAAATAATGATGCAAAAGGATTCAAAAAAGTAAGTAGATACTAAAAAAAATACCTCTACGAACTTAAAAATAATCACCACCGGGGATAACCGATAGAGTACGTATTTATCTACAAGTAGATGACCTAACTTGTTCGTCAATATTGTGCGATCTACCCTCTCCGGATCCCAATATAAAGATCAAACCCGATCCAATAATAATCAAGCGTCAAAAGATCCAAAACCCTAACTTATCCATCCAACAAAAACCACAAATTCAAGCCTCCATGACAAATCAATAAATCAAGATCCAATTACATGAATCGAACACAGTTATGATTAACACATCGATTATGAAAACAATAAGGTAGCGGTGACCATAAAAGATGATTCAAACGAAAAAAGATTCAAATTTGATAAGAAGAAAAACTTACTACTCGGGAGTCATGGCTGTGGATTACGATTGGAGAAAATATATGAGAAGAAGACGAGGTTTGTGAAGGAAAAAACACCACCGAATCTTGTGGATCACCGCCGGGGTCAAGCTGCGATGCGATGAGAGAGAGAATTTGGGGGCACGTAAACGAAAATGAAAGAAGCAAAAGACATTTGGTAAAAGAAATCAAAATATAGGTATCTGCACGTGAGTGGAGAATGGAGATGCAATCTCATTAATGTTTCATAAGGATTAGGTTCAGTGGTTCACGTAAGACTGGCCTGTTTTTGTGAGACCTATGAAACCAATTTTTTATACTTAAACAACTTTTACAGCAAAAATACTATGAAGTTTACTTTCACAATATTTTGCTGTGAAGTCTCAAGTGTAAAAAAATGGTCTCACGGTCTTACGAAAACATGTCGGTCTCATGTGTTCTCAAGTGTCTCTCTCTATATATTATAATTCAAGAAATTAAGGGGTTGTTTGTCAGATCTTGAATGGTTTGATGTATAATGATTAAATGGTCAGAATGATTAAGACGCTCTCATGATACAGTGTAAAATGAAATATAATTGTTTACAATTGAATTAGAGTGTTGAATGGTTAAAGAAGGTTCATGATACAAAATCATTCAGAGGGTTTTAGAACCATTAAGAGACATAATTTTTTCTTGCCAAACACGATTCACCTCTTAAAGATTTATAGGTTGTCTCTTAATAGAACATTAAGAGGTAAACAAACATCCCCTGAATCTCTAAATGTGATTCCAGGGACCACCTCATGTCGTTTGGTGTGAAGTTTATTCCTTGACGTTCAATGTGAAGCTTTTCCCTTGTCGTTTGATGCCATCGTCTTCCTCATTCAAATGCAACCGACACAAACTGCAAGAAGGTGATTCCATACGATAATATTTTCTTGACCAATCATCGATTTTAAAGGGGGCTAAAACTTGCGGGTCCAGGGCTGCATGCCAACTCTTTCGATAATTTGTGTTAATGAAATCATTGTATACAGCTCCTGGATCATACTCAAACTTTTGAGAAACCACTTCAGATTTGGGGTTTGATATATGGTTTTGTATAAAAAAAAATATTGAAATCAATTTGTACAGTATTAGTTGTTGATGGTCTCTATATGAGAAATGATTGATTTGTGTTGGTTAATTTGTGTTTTGTTTTGAATCGATCTGTCTGGGGTTAATTTGAAAAAAAAAGGGTCATGATTATGTTTCAATTTTGTAGGTAAATGGGGTTAAATGTTTATAGGTTAATGATTATATTATGGGTTGAAATTATGATGTTCGTAAATGATTAATGTTTTACTAGTTGTGTACCCGCGCAATGCGGCGGGAGCCATGAATTTTAACGATTTTGAAGTTCCACTGATTTATAAGATAAGATTTAACGATGATATAGGTTACACTTGGTCTTTACATATTAATACAATTTGAATAAATAAGAGTTATGGTTCTAATTACAGACTATCGATGAAAAAAATTGTATRACARTTTAAAATCCAATATATTTAAAATCCAACATATTTAAACAACTCCACAAATGTGTTCGATTTACACCAAGAGCAAAGAACCAAGAAACTTGAGTTTTAAGATAAACACGCAAAACCAATAAAGAAAACTACAAATTTGACAGATCATAAGCCATGAAAAGACAAAAAAAGATGGATTTTAGAATGAAATTTCAACTGCTTACCCTCTTTCTTGTTCAGAAACTCAGATTAAGGTTGAATTAATACATGTATGTATATATATATATATATATATATATATATATATATCAAAAAAACCCAATAACATATTAATTCAGAACATATTATACAGTGCAAATTGGACAGTCTAACCCCAAAATATATAGTATATATAAAAACAAATAACTATAAAAGTATAAATCGTAAATATTAAAAATATTTTTTTCACATTATATATATAACATATAATAATATAATTAAGTCAAAAACTATTCAATATTGGACTCATTTCGAAGGTATTAACGAGACGATTATAATAGTGTAACATGTTAAAATATAAATGTATTTTTTAAACATGTTTTAATTGATATACGATTATGTATGTTAATTTGATAAATGTTTAAAATGAAACATTTAAAAGTAAAGAACGTAAAGTAAATTAATTAATTAATTATGGGGGTATAAAGTGTAAATTTAAAATTATAATTTAAAAAAAATCGTTATGAGGAGAGGAATGGATGAAAAAGTGATATAAGAGTAGTATAAAGGGTATTTTGGTTCTTTAATATTTTAAGACTTTAAGACTTTTATTAAATTTGCTTAATAAGATAGTATAGATACTGTTCTCTGTGTTATTGTTTAGAGCATCTCTAATAGGTTATCTATGATTTATCTAAAATAAAGAATCAGGTCAAAATCTCTAATAAAATTACAATCAGCTCCAACAAATTCTCTATTTCAGACATTTCAACATTATCATATTATTAAAATTAATTTCATTTTGATGCAATTTTTTCTTAGAAACCGCTGAAAGTTAGCAATATTCTTTCTTTTAAGTATATAATATTTATAAACTCAAATGAACCCGTGCATTCTTTTTCACATTTGGTGGAATTTGAACGTTTGACCTTTGAGAAGTTGGACTCTACTAGTAACTGGAATAATAGTATGCCAAAAGCCCTTTGGTAATATTCTTTTATGTACGAAGAATGTCCCAAACATGGGATCAGTCAAATTAATTAGCACAAACCGTATCTAAACTCTAAAAGTCATGTACTTTTATTCGATTGTAATATTAGGGTATAGACTTAAAAGAACATGTTTAAAGATTCTATAGCTTAGAAATTCTATTTAAAAACCCACAATTTGAAAATAAAAAAAAATTCAAACTGTTGGGTTGTGATAAATTTCGATAACCAAAAACACATTAACAGCGGAAGCAAACAAAACGAAAATCACAACCTTCCAGAGATTTGGTTACAATCCGATACAAGTAACAAAACAAACATAGAGGGTGATTAGAAAAACCTTTTAGATGGAAGTGAAGAACCCAATAATAGGATCCTCTCTATCGTGTTCACACCCCAAAGCTTCAATCACTTGTAAACAACAAGAAACCACCCTCTAAGTCTCTTATATCGAACTGAGCTACACGCCAGAGGCCATAAGTCTCTTATATCGAACTCTTAATTTTGTCCCAATGGCAAAAACAAGCAACTTAACATTCCCTTTTGTTGCATAATATAAATTATTCACAATAAGCTCGTATGACCCCATTTAACAATATCAACGTAGACATTCATTGCTTTAAAATTGAGCTTATGACATGAACGAACTCGAACCATATCCAACTCGGCTCATCACTTCGAAAACCGGCACAAGGCTCATCACTTCGAAAACCGTTTTTCCATTTTCTTCCATTTTGTTAGGAGTTACGTCTAACCATAGACCATCGGTCTATGCTAGCATATAGGTCTATGTTCAAATCATGAGATTATTAAATTGTTTAGGTTCTTAATTGTTAAATATTTAGGTTTAGGATTAGATTTTAATTGTCCGTGCTTAATCGTTATCTGTGCTTAACATATATTTAGTTTCATTATGTAATTTTGAAGTGTAATTATAAAAAGCTTTTGGTGTAACAGGGCCTCCGAAAATATTGAAACGTCTCTGTTACGAACCTAAAATAGTTTCCCCAAATTACACATAAATTCAAGTCTTTATCGATAATCAACATCTTCTACCTCTAGATGCGCTAGCTAACAGTCACTACAACAAAATCGGGTTTATAGGACACTCTCAATTTCTAAACGTCCTAATAGACCTCTTTATAAGACTTAGTTTATAGGACCAAAAAAATAAAGCGTTCTATCTAAATGCGTTGTAATAAGTTTATATGACGTTTGTTTTGATGTCGTAATAAATTTTTTAGGACAGTTTTAATATAAAACGTCCCATTAGCAAATTTATAGGACACTATTTGAAAATTTGTCCTATTAAAACAAATGTCCTATAAAAAGTTGAGTTTATAGGACACTTTCTCAAAATTGTCCTATAAAGTTGCTAATGCAACACTTTATACTAAAAATGTGTTAAAAAACTTGTTAAGACGCCCAAAAGCGTCATATAAACTTATTACAACACATTTAGATATGACACTTTTACATTTTGATCATATAAATTAAGTCATATAAAACGGTCTATTGGGACGCTTAGAGATTGGGTGTCCTATAGACCCAATTTTGTTGTAGTGAGTATAATGTCAATCATCAAGCAAACAGATGGGGTTGGCTGATACTGCCGACTACCACCGAATGGAACCACCACCGACCACCACCACTGATCTGAACCACTATCGATCACCGCCGATCTGAACCACCACCGAAGTGTTTTGGACCCTTCCTCATAGTCCAAAAAAATTGGAGGGAAAGTTCATCAATTATTTGGAAATGCCATTAACTTTAGTTTTATCTACTTAAATGCCCTACCATTGAAATTATTTTTATTCATATAACAATCACATAACTTAAACGCAACGTATTTAGGACATCTGAAACGGGTAAAATTAAGGGGCCGTATACCAAACGCTTACTCGGGTAAGTGAACACCAAGTCACATTATCTTACCGGATGAATATGGTAAGGACCAAGAATCTTACCCGGTAAGAGCGAGACAAGGATCAAAAGTCTTACCTAGTGAGTGAGGGCAATGACTCTTACCACGGTAAGCGCTTACCGGGTAAATTGTTACATACGATACCGTCTTGATGGACTAAAATCTTACCAGGTAAGTCAATGATAGTGTTAAATTTTGTCGGTAAACATCTACCGGGTAAGTGTTTGGTAAACGGCCCTCAATCTTACATCAAATTCATAAAAATTGCAGTAAAATTTGATGCAAACAATAAATCTAGTTCAGGGATCGAATTTTGTGCACCTCAATTTTGCACCTTGTATAAACTGTAATACGAGCTCATCCCCGACCCAGACCACCTCCATCCCCGACGGTTATAGAAGATGCATCCTTATCCCTCATCCGGAAATTCCGTCCATAACGGAGTCGCTAGAATAGGATATCCACCTGAGACTGAGACTGATTAAACTACAATTCGTACTATGTTAGAAATATGATCATTTTAATCGAGCATTATCAGTATTACCAAATATTATACGAACAACTGGTGTATAACTTCGTTAGGTTCAGTTATTTCCTAACGAAAGTCCATACAAAAGCAGACTCAATGACAAAATGAGGACTAGAGGGAACACATTTTTTGCTGGTTGGGTTATTTCTGTGAAAAAAGTAAAAATGAAGGGTAATTTTATACCAATTGAAAGTTTCCCGCCTCTTAAACGAATTCTTAACCACCAAAAAATAGACTCTATATAAACCATCAACGGCTCGCTTCTTCTTCTTCTTCAACCGCCATTACTGAATCAATAAAACCTCCATTACCGAATCAAGAACACTCTCGCACACCTCCGCCATGGATAGAATCAAGAATTACTTCATCAGACCCTGGGATTCCGACGCCATGCTTAGTGTTACTCCTATTTCAAGTGTCGTCAGACAACACCTTCTCATGGTATATCCAATTCTCCTAATTCTATTCATATCTTTTCATTTCAATTCAAAGAAACTAAACTTAGATTCAATTCGTTTTGATTTTAMCTATGGTTGCAGTAATTCTTCTGATCATTACGAATGTGAGATGAAATCAATGGAGTTCTTAGCTCATAGTTTATACAAAAAAAATCTCTCACTCTCTCTCGWGAAAACCCTAKAGAGTGAAGGAGATGTTYTTGATYTACTCTTGATTTTGACTTTTCAGTAGCTTATAATCTTTTATGTTGACCAGAAATGCACAAATTCAACGTAGWTWTGATCTTGATCWTTATATATTTGTGTTATAGTTATCACRGTTAACGTAATTCTTTCTTCAATTTTTGGATGTTGAACTCAGGTTTACTGCACATTGTTCTACAGTTTTGTGTTCATTCTATCTGGAGCCGTTTCCCATCTACTTTTCAACCATGGAGGATGGGTTTCAGCTTTTGGATTCATGGGAAGCGTGTGGTGGATATACAGAATCAAGCCTTGGAGGGAGGTACGAATTTCATTAATTATCCATCGAATTAATTAGACGATCTATGATTCTGAATCAATTTAGTCGTTTGATTTCCAGATTCGCAGGGTCTTGCTTCTGATGACAGCTTCATATTTCTCCGGGGCTACTCTCGGTCCTCTGATTAACTTGATCATAGAGATGGATCAAAGGTAAAAACAGCATTCAACTCAACTTCTGGGCATTAATCCTACTTTCTTTATGATTGGGTTTAAGTTTTTAATCCTCTTTTTATCCCCTTAATCACAGAAATATCATCAAGATCATCATGGGAGGCATTCTGTTCTTCAGTTGTTACTTAGGCGCGATCATCCATAGTCTTGAACGGGCTGTTATCTACCAACTCGGTGAATATTCCGCTCCCATTCTCATTGCCGCTTGGATGGTCATATCCGACGCCTATCCTGGCCTTTTCACGGTATGTATTAGAGTACAAGGGTGTTATAGTAATTTCACTTCTTGGTTAGGTTGTATATTACCCGAATCAAGTAAGATTTACTGGGTTTGTTTGGTTTAGTTAGGTTTTATACTGATCTAACACTCACTTAACCAAGAAGTAAAAAAGACTACAATATCCTTTTAGTCTAATAGTATGATCGAAAACCTTATACGTAAATCCATTCAAATTTCCCCCATTTTGATCTTCAGATTATGTAACAAACGTTCGTTTATCTGTTTTCTCAAAGCACACCCTCTGCCTTCTATCCTTACCGCTCCAATGGTATCTAGTGGTTCACGTGGGAGCGTTTATCGGACGCAGGCTTCGAATGTTGTTCAATATGCCCGTACATCTCTTGTGGATCTCATTTCTGTGCTACTGTTTCGACCACTCTATTCATGATGTCATGGTAAGGCGTTAGAATTAGAATAATTCATAGATACCGTGAGAATATATGGAACCCCATCATATTACTTTTCAAAATAGCTGATACAAGACTCCAACAGATACATCATATATCAAAATACATCGTGATTTTTTTAAAACGTTAGTAATTCTTGTTGTTTCTCGTTACAGTACATGTACTTAATCCTTACGTGGCTTATCATTCACATGAATTTGTACAACCAACTCACCATTTTCCGAGCAACACATCATCCCGAAGAAAATTACTATGTCAGCACCGCCATCACTTTCTTCACCGAATTCGCTAAACATATCATCGATCTTTTAAGACACACTATCGATGGTACAGTTACTTTTTCGTATTAGAAGAAGAAGATTTATTTCGATCCTTTTCAGATAAATGTGATTATATTTTCTGTGTTTGATCCAAGTTTATGCAGTTGGTATCATGGTCCGAAGAATAAGGATGCATTCTGCGGCTGCGAGACATTGAGTAACGCGTACTCCTGTAGTGAGGACATAATAGTGTTAGGCGTGAAGTGTACAACGGTCCCGAATTTCTTGACTAACTTCGACCCAGTATTTGATTCGTTAACATTGTTCGTTTTCGTGGACTAAACTGCTAGTAACAAGTAGTAAATTCAGTTCGCTATGTCGTGTTTATAGTGTATTAGAACATCTCCAACAGATTCTCCGTAACTGCGACAATGGAGATTTTGGGCAAAATTTTGCTCCAACGGATTCTCCAAAATGGAGAAAGCATCATAGAGAAATTCTCCAAACTTGAAGAACTCCTTAAAATTGATTACCATAAGAGAGAAATAATATTTTTTTATGTTTCCACCAATAATCTTGATGCTAAATGTTAATGAGAAATAAATAATATTTTATTAAATGTATAAATAAATTTTAGTAATATAATTAAAGATGCATCTCCAAGATAGAAAATATTTTGGATACAAATGTAATTTTGCTTTTTGGAGAATCTGTTGGAGATATTCACTTCAGACAAGTTTATGGTGCATTATAGTGTGTGGGCAGAACGTCCGACGTCGTTTGATTGAAACAGTTGATCGGTTACAAATAACATATATCACAATGGAAAGTAGTATTTAAGGTAATTTGTTGTTTAATGACTATGATAGGACAAACTGAGACAAAAATGCATTTTTTTTGTCCTACCAAAATGACCCGTCCAGTTATATATTGTTTTATCTCTTCCGCTTATAGGCGCTAGTCGCCACCCTTACTTACCTTACCCAACAACATTCTAGGAAATAAAAATGGATTGTTGGTAACATTATCTTATCCGACAAGTGTTAACCGGATAAAAGTCTTGTCTCTCATTTATCGGGTAGGATTATCGGCCCCTCCTACGCTTTTTACCGGCTAAAATTCCCAAAACTTGTCATGTTGATCCCAATAATGTAAGTAACATCAACTTAAACTAGACTTATCAGGCACCAAAGTGTTTTGGACCCTTCCTCATAGTCCAAAGAAGTTGGAGGGAAAGTTGATTCAGTTATTTGGAAATGCCATTGACTTTAGCTTTATTCACTTCGGGGTCGTTTACCAAACACTTACCTGGTAGGTGCTTATCGGTAAAATCTAACAAAACTATTTACTAACCGTGTAAGATTTTAGTCAACTATCATATACAACAATTTACCCGGTAAGCGCTTACCATGGTAAGAGTCGTTGCCTTCACTTACCGGGTAAGACTCATGGTCCTTGTCTCACTCTTACCGGGTAAGATTCTTGATCCTTACCATATTCATCCGGTGAGGTAATGTCACTTGATAAATGCTTACCCGGGTAAGCGTTTGGTAAACGGCCCCTTAAATGACCTACCATTGTAATTATTTTTATTCATATAACAATCACAACTTAAACGCAACGTATTTAGTACATCTGAACTGGGTAAAACTAAATCTTACATTAAGTTCATAAAATTTGATGCAAACAGTAAATCTAGTTCAAGGAGTAACATTAAAATGTGATATTATATTGGTGTAAAATTTGGTATAAACGAAGAATGTTGTACCAAATTTGGTGTCTTACTATTCATTACACTAAACTTAGTATGAGGTTCGATGTCTTCATTTGATGTTCCCATTCGAGATGATCATAGTCATCTACTAGAAACTTTCGAATTTCATTACGAGACATTAAATAAATCGTTTAAATGGTATTGGAAAGAAACGACGAGTCTAAAGATAAAATATTCATTTACAAAATAAACGAACAAAAAAATATAAACGAGTCAAACGAGTTGGTCAACATTCTAGCCATAGATCGTAATGCACAACAAACAAACGCCACCTAATGAACTGATTTTACTACTTATTACTAGCTGTGTAGTCCACGAAAACGAACACTGCTAAAGAATCAAATAATGGGTCGAAGGTTGTCTACAAGTTAGGGATCGATCTATGCTTTACGCCTACTCACGATCATGAGAATTACTGTATGTGTCGACGCCGCAGATTGTCCTTTATTTTTCTGATCATGATACCAACTGCATAAACTCGGATAACAAGAAAGAGGGTCATCGGTAAATAGATAGATATCGGCTTCTCCAAATCAAACTTTTCACTTTGTATAAGTTGAGGGCTTCATGGAACAACTGCCTCTACTTTATAGGATAAAGTCAGGTCTGTGTACCTCCTACCCTCCCAACCCCACCTTCAGGTGGGATATATTGGGTTTGTTCGATTTGGATTTAACTAATCAGATTGATCTACCAAACCAAATCTAAGTATTGCAGTTTAGTAGACCTGAACTCTACCCTAGAGAGAAGCGGCTGCTTCTGTGAAGAAAACTAATCAGATTGATCTCAAGAGGTCAAAATGTATCTTTTTGTGAAACGATCAATTAGTTTGTACCATAGTGCGTGAAGAAACCGATAGTACGAGCCGGGAAGTCAGTAAAGAAGGCGATGGTTGTGCTGACATAGTAACTTTCTTCGTTATGACGAGCTGCTAGGAAAATGGCATGTTGACTATGCATCTTCATATGAATGATAAGCGACAAAACTAATAGGTACACGAACTGTAATAGGAAATGGAACACGAGTAAAAACGTTGAAAAAAGGCTATAAAAATGTATCTATCAATCATTCGATTTTAAGATCATACCACGAGATCAGAAAGAGGGTAGTCGAAAAAGTAGCACAGAAGGGAGATCCAGACGAGATGAAAGGGCACAGTAAACCACATCTGAAGCCGATTTCTGAAAAAATGTAGCAAGAAAACTGCTAGATACCATTGAAGGGGTAGAACTAGAAGGAAGACTGCATGCTGATAAGAAACAAGTTTGTTAGTTATTAGATAACATAAAGCAAAAATGCACAAGGCCCGTGCCTTCCAATCCCGTTTTCAATGCGCAAAAAGAAGGTCCCAGTTGAGCTTTTTCGGGCTTAACCAGGCTTTTCCATGCTCTTTCCAAGTCGGGATTTTTCGAGCCAGGCCTGCCCCCAAAATTTTGGCCAGATCGGACTTTGAGGCCTGGGCTTCAGGCTCACTAGTCCTGGGCTTTTTCAGGCCAGTTTTGGGATTTGGGCATTTTTGTGCATCTCTAATCTAAAGAAGGAAAAACTGGGGTTTTGATCTAAGGCAAAATAGGAGCATACTGTGAGTAAACTAGAATAGGTTTCTGAAATGATCATCCAGATGGTGATGACAATGGGAGAACAGAACACCAATCTGGTAGATGATCTCCCTATCGAAACTATGGATGGCTGCGCCAAAGTGACAACTGAAGAACACAATGCCCCCCATGATAATCTTGATGACATCACTGTGATTTGGAGATAAAAATGAAAAACTTGATATCAAGAAAGTGAAATTTATGCACAGAAATTGTAAAAATAAGAACCAGGTTTCTTGTATGGTGCTTTTAGATCCTTTTGGCATTTTGGACGGTATTCGGTGATACTGGCCTGAATGCCAAAGGGAATCTAGGAAACAAGGAAGAATCACAATGTTTTTACCTCTGATCCATCTCAATGAACAAGTTAATCAGAGGACCAAGAGTAACCCCGGAAAAATACGCAGCTACCATTAACAAAATGACCCTAGGAATCTGGAATTTGAGCAATTAGATTGATTCAGAACTAGAGAAGAGAAAGTAAATAAAGGGTTCACGAAATTTAACCTCCCTCCAAGGCTTGATTTTGGATATCCACAATGAGGTTCCGATGAATCCAACGGCTGTAATCCATCCACCATTGTTGAAAAATACATGGGAAAAACCTCCAAATAAAGCGAACACAAACGCGTAGCATAATGTGCTGTACATCTGAGTTTAGCAGCCCATTAAATGTTAGAATAAAAAATCTAATATCAGATGTTCCATTAATTTCTGTTAAGTCTGATTACTGTTGTTACTGTTAAGGGCAGTTAGGGTTAGTAATTTTCACCTCATCAATCCAATAGAAATAACTAAATTCATACAACAACGGATAATCTTCATAAGAATTTAGGGCCAGCGTTTAGTTTCTTGAAATCGATTGAACATAGATGAATCAAGGGTAGGGTTTTAGTTTCTTTGAAATCGAATTAAACCTAGGTGAAGAACAGATTACCATGAGAAGGTGTTCCCAAGCGAAACGTGGAACGGGATCATTGCTAAGCATGGCAGCGGAATTCCAGGGCCTAACGAAGTACTTCTTGATTCTATCCATGGCGGATTTCAGCGAGAATGTTGAGCGGGTTCTTGGATTCAGTAATGGAAGTGTTGAAGGATGCGTAATGGAAGTCATGAAGAAGTGAAGTGAGCAGTGGATGATTTTCATATAGAACCTGTTATGGAGTTCGTTAAGAAGAGGAGGGAAACTCCATATCCTTTTCGTTTTATTTACAAAAATGCAACAACTTTTGAAAAATCTTTAGTTACCTTATTTCGTATAAAAAAAACTCCGCTAAATAAGCGATATTTTAGTCATTTTCATCTTTCTATAATATCTTTTTTAGAGTAAGAGGCCGTATACCAAATGTTTACCCAGGTAAGCGCTTACCAAAATCACATTACTTTACCGGATGAATATGGTAAGGGTCAAGAGTCTTACCCGGTAAGTGAGAGCGACGACTCTTACCACGGTAAGTGCTTACCGAGTAAATTGTTGCGTACGATGCCTTTTTTGTGGATTAAAATCTTACCCTAAGTAAATGATAGTGTTAAATTTTACCAGTAAACGCTTACCGGATAAGTGTTTGGTAAACTTTGTCTCCAAACACATTCTCCAAAATGGAGAATTAAAACTTACAATCTTCAAAAGGCAAAATTACATTCGTATTCAAAAGATTCTCTATCTTGGAGATGCATCATTAATTATTTTATTAAAATTTATGTATACGTATAATGAAATTTTATCTCTCTCGTAAACATTTAGCATCAATATTTCTTGTTGACGGAAACATAATAAAAATTTATTTATTATTGGAGGTTTTTCCCATGTACTTTTCAACAATGGTATTGGATATCATTACAATTAGTTTTGTCGCTCATCCTTCATAAGAAGATGCATAGTCAACAGGCTATTTTTCTAGTAGCTCGTCATAATGAAGAAAGTTACTATGTCCGCACAACAATCGCCTTCTTTACTGACTTCCCGGCTCGTACCATCGGTTCTTTCACGCACTATGGTACAAACTAATTCACCGTTTCACAAAAAGATACATTTTGACCTCTTGAGATCAATCTGCTTAGTTTTCTTCACAGAAACAGCCGCTTCTCTTCGTTTATACCAATACAATATCACATTTCAATGTTACTCAGATGTCCTAAATACGTTGTGATTGTTATATGAATAAAAATAATTACAATGGTAGGGCATTTAAGTAAATAAAGCTAAATTCAATGGCATTTCCAAATAATTGAATCAACTTTCCCTCCAACCTCTTTGGACTATGAGGAAGGGTCCAAAATACTTTGGTGCCTGATCATTATAGTTTAAGTCGATTTTATTGGGTGTCATTTATATTATTGGATGAACATGGCAAGTTTCGAGAATCTTATCCAGTAAAAGGCATAGGAGGGGTCGGTAATCATACTAGACAAGTGAGAGAGAAGACTTTTATCTGGTTAGCATTTGCCGGATAAGATAATGTTACCAACAATCCATATTTATTTCCGAGAATGCTACCCGGTAAGGTAAGTAAGGGTAGCGACTAGCGCCTGTAAGCAAAAGAGATAAAACAATACATAATTGGACGGGTCATTTTGGTAGGACAAAAAATATGTATTTTTGTCTCAATTTGTCCTGTCATAGTCATTAAACAACAAATTTTATACTGTCATGTCTATGCCTTTTTTAGTCTTGGTTCTTCTTTTCACTCGTCCTCCACTAAAACCTTTTTTGCAAACTTTTTTCACAAGTCTTTCACGAAAACCATCATTTTACTCTTTTAAGTAGATGTCAGATATGCATACATCTTACCTTAAATCCTACTTTCTATTGTGATATATTATATGTCATTCTTAACTGATCGACTGTTTCAGTCGAACGACATTCTAGCGCCACACTATAATGCACTATCTCCAACAAATTCTATCTTCGAGATGCATCATTAACTATATTACTAAAATTTATGTATACATAAAATAAAATATTATTTCTCTCTTGTAAACATTTAGCATCAAGATTTCTTATCAGTGGAAACATAATAAAAAATTATTTATCTCTCATGGTAATCATTTTTAAGGACTTTTCCAAGTTTGGAGAATTTCTCTCTGATGCTTTCTTCATTTTGGAAAATCTGTTGGAGCAAAATTTTGCTTAAAATCTCTATTTTCGCAGTTACGGAGAATTTGTTGGAGATGTTCTAATACGCTAAAAACACGACATAGCAAACTGAATTTGCCTACTTGTTACTAGCGGTTTAGTCCACGAAAACGAACAATGTTAACGAATCAAAGAGGGGGACGAAGTTCGTCTACAAATTCGGGACCGTTGTACAGTTCACGCCTAACACTATTATGTCCTCACTACAGGAGTACGCGTTACTCAATGTCTCGCAGCCACAGAACGCGTCCTTATTCTGCGGACCATGATACCAACTGCATAAACTTGGATCAAACACAGAAAATATAATCACATTCATCTGAAAAGGATCGAAATAAATCTTCTTCTTCGAATACGAAAAAGTAACTGTACCATCGATAGTGTGTCTTAAAAGATCGATGATATGAACCGCGAATTCGGTGAAGAAAGTGATGGCGGTGCTGACATAGTAATTTTCTTCGGGATGATGTGTTGCTCGGAAAATGGTGAGTTGGTTATACAAATTCATGTGAACAATAAGCCACGTAAGGATTAAGTACACGTACTGTAACGGGATACAACAAGAATTACTAACGTTTTAAAAAAATCACGATGTATTTTGATATATGATGTATCTGTTGGAGTCTCGTATCAGCTATTTTGAAAAGTAATATGATGGGGTTCCATATATTCTCACGGTATCTATGAATTATTCGAATTATAACGCCTTACCATGACATCATGAATAGAGTGGTCGAAACAGTAGCACAAAAATGAGATCCACAAGAGATGTACAGGCATATTGAACCACATCCGAAGCCTGCGTCCGATAAACGCTCCCACGTGAACCACTAGATACCATTGGAACGGTAAGGATAGAAAGCAGAGGGTGTGCTTTGAGAAAACAGATAAACGAACGTTCGTTACATAATCTGAAGATCAGAATGGGGGAAATTTAAACGGATTTACTTACAAGGTTTTCGATCATACTATTAGAGTAAAAGGGTATTGTAGTATTTTCTACTTTTTGGGACGTGAGTGTTAGATCAGTAAAAAACCTAACTAAACTAAATAAGCCCAGTAAATCTTACTTGATTCGGGTAATATACAACCTAACCAAGAAGTGAAATTACTATAACACCCTTGTACTCTAATACATATCGTGAAAAGGCCAGGATAGGTGTCGGATATGACCATCCAAGCGGCGATGAGAATGGGAGCGGAATATTCACCGAGTTGGTAGATAACAGTCCATTCAAGACTATGGATGATCGCGCCTAAGTAACAACTGAAGAACAGAATGCCTCCCATGATGATCTTGATGATATTTCTGTGATTAAGGGGATAAAAAGAGGATTAAAAACTTAAACCCAATCATAAAGAAAGTAGGATTTATGCACAGAAATTGAGTTGAATGTTGTTTTTGCCTTTGATCCATCTCCATGATCAAGTTAATCAGAGGACCGAGAGTAGCCCCAGAGAAATATGAAGCAGTCATCAGAAGCAAGACCCTGCGAATCTGGAAATCAAACGACTAAAATTGATTCAGATTCATAGATCGTGTGATTAATTCGATGGATAATTAACGAAAGTTGTACCTCCCTCCAAGGCTTGATTCTGTATATCCACCACACGCTTCCTATGAATCCAAAAGCTGAAACCCATCCTCCATTGTTGAAAAGTAGATGGGAAATGGCTCCAGATAAAATGAACACAAAACTGTAGAACAATGTGCAGTAAACCTGAGTTCAACATCCAAAAATTGAAGAAAGAATTACGTTAACTGTGATAACTATAACACAAATATATAATGATCAAGATCATATCTACGTTGAATTTGTGCATTTCTGGTCAACATAAAAGATTATAAGCTACTGAAAAGTCAAAATCAAGAGTAAATCAAAAACATCTCCTTCACTCTCTAGGGTTTTCTCGAGAGAGAGTGAGAGATTTTTTTTGTATAAACTATGAGCTAAGAACTCCATTGATTTCATCTCACATTCGTAATGATCAGAAGAATTACTGCAACCATAGKTAAAATCAAAACGAATTGAATCTAAGTTTAGTTTCTTTGAATTGAATTGAAAAGATATGAATAGAATTAGGAGAATTGGATATACCATGAGAAGGTGTTCTCTGATGACACTTGAAATAGGAGTAACACTAAGCATGGCGTCGGAATCCCAGGGTCTGATGAAGTAATTGTAAGATTCTATATATGAACCATCAAACATGAATCATTAAGTAAATGAACGAAATCTAACCTGGTACAGTAGGGCTTGATGCTGTTTCGTGTACTTGTTGCTCCATCGTCTTCTTCCAGTTTCACACCATATTCTGCCCTTTGTGATGGATAAGGATATGCAGAG